ACAGCCATAGTAAAAACTGTCGAGGTTAGTTTAGTTTATACTCGCCACGATAATGTGTGCTTATGACAAATCATTGTTTAATCTAGCTCGCTGACAGCCATAGTAAAAACTGTCGGGGTTAGCTTAGTTGTCATTGAAAACATTAATGTATGCTTATGTCCAATCATTGTCCAACAGAGCTCGCTGACAGCCATAGTAAAAACTGTCGAGGTTAGTTTAGTTTATACTCGCCACGATAATGTGTGCTTATGACAAATCATTGTTTAATCTAGCTCGCTGACAGCCATAGTAAAAACTGTCAGGGTTAGTTTAGAACGATAATGTGTGCTTATGACAAATCATTGTTTAATCGAGCTCGCTTACAGCCATAGTAAAAACTGTCGGGGTTAGCTTAGTTGTCATTGAAAACATTAATGTATGCTTATGTCCAATCATTGTCCAGCAGAGCTCGCTTACAGTTATAATAAAAACTGTCGAGGTTAGTTTAGTTTATACTCGCCACGATAATGTGTGCTTATGACAAATCATTGTTTAATCGAGCTCGCTTACAGCCATAGTAAAAACTGTCGGGGTTAGCTTAGTTGTCATTGAAAACATTAATGTATGCTTATGTCCAATCATTGTCCAAGTTTAATAAAGCCCGCTTACAGCCATAGTAAAAACTGTCAGGGTTAGTTTAGTTGTCATTGAAAATCTTAATGTATGCTTATGTCCAATCATTGTCCAACAGAGCTCGCTTACAGCCATAGTAAAAATTGTCGTTGTTCGTTTAGTTTATACTCGCCACGATAATGTATGCTTATGACAAATTATTGCCAAACAGAGCTCGCTGACAGCCATAGTAAATACTGTCGGGGTTAGTTTAGTTTAAACTCGCCACTATACTTTGTGCTAAAGACAAATCATTGTTTAATAAAACTCGCTTACAGCCATAGTAAAAACTGTCAGGGTTAGTTTAGTTGTCATTGAAAATCTTAATGTATGCTTATGTCCAATCATTGTCCAACAGAGCTCGCTTACAGCCATAGTAAAAACTCTCGGGGTTAGCTTAGTTGTCATTGAAAACATTAATGTATGCTTATGACAAATCATTGTTTAATAGAGCTCGCTTACAGCCATAATAAAAACTGTCGAAGTTAGTTTAGTTGTCATTGAAAATCCTAATGAATGCTAATGACAAATCATTGTCCAACAGAGCTCGCTTACAGCCATAGTAAAAATTGTCGGGGTTCGTTTAGTTTATACTCGCCACGATAATGTATGCTTATGACAAATTATTGCCAAACAGAGCTCGCTGACAGCCATAGTAAATACTGTCGGGGTTAGTTTAGTTTAAACTCGCCACTATACTTTGTAACGATAATGTGTGCTTATGACAAATCATTGTTTAATCGAGCTCGCTTACAGCCATAGTAAAAACTGTCGGGGTTAGCTTAGTTGTCATTGAAAACATTAATGTATGCTTATGTCCAATCATTGTCCAACAGAGCTCGCTTACAGCCATAGTAAAAACTGTCGAGGTTAGTTTAGTTTATACTCGCCACGATAATGTGTGCTTATGACAAATCATTGTTTAATCGAGCTCGCTGACAGCCATAGTAAAAACTGTCGGGGTTAGCTTAGTTGTCATTGAAAACATTAATGTATGCTTATGTTCAATCATTGTCCAACAGAGCTCGCTTACAGCTATAGTAAAAATTGTCGGGGTTAGTTTAGTTTATACTCGCCACGATAATGTATGCTTATGACAAATCATTGTTTAATAGAGCTCGCTTACAGCCATAGTAAAAACTGTCGGGGTTAGTTTAGTTGTCATTGAAAACATTAATGTATGCTTATGACAAATCATTGTTTAATAGAGCTCGCTTACAGCCATAGTAAATACTGTCGGGGTTAGTTTAGTTTATACTCGCCACTATACTGTGTGCTAAAGACAAATCATTGTTTAATAAAGCCCGCTTACAGCCATAGTAAAAACTGTCAGGGTTAGTTTAGTTGTCATTGAAAATCTTAATGTATGCTTATGTCCAATCATTGTCCAACAGAGCTCGCTTACAGCCATAGTAAAAACTGTCGGGGTTCGTTAAGTTTATACTCGCCACATTAGTGTTTGCTTATGATAAATCATTGTTTAACAGAACTCGTTTACAGCCATAGTAAAAACTGTCGGGTTTATAATAGTTGTTATTGAAAACATTAATGTAAACATATGTCCAATCATTGTCCAGCAGAGCTCACTAACAGCCATAGTAAAAACTGTCGAGGTTAGTTTAGTTTATACTCGCCACGATAATGTGTGCTTATGACAAATCATTGTTTAATAGAGCTCGCTTACAGCCATAGTAAAAATTGTCGGGGTTCGTTTAGTTTATACTCGCCACTATACTGTGTGCTTATGACAAATCATTGTTTAATAGAGCTCGCTTTAAGCCATAGTAAAAACTGTCGGGGTTAGTTTAGTTTATACTCGCCACTATACTGTGTGCTAGAGACAAATCATTGTTTAATAGAGCTCGCTTACAGCCATAGTAAAAACTGTCGGGGTTCGTTTAGTTTATACTCGCCACATTAGTTTTTGCTAATGACAAATCATTGTTTAACAGAACTCGCTGACAGCCATAGTAAAAACTGTCGGGGTTAGTTTAGTTTATACTCGCTACGATAATGTGTGCTTATGACAAATCATTGTTAAATAGAGCTCGCTTACGGCCCTAGTACAAACTGTCGGGGTTAGTTTAGTTGAGTTCTATGGTTCACATGGTGTGCTCCACTTTAAACATAATGTATAGGAATTTATTTATATGTTATTTTAACACTTAATGCATTGATTTGTCTACGCTGCATCCAATTCATAGCTAAAGTCCAATCGGAATAATAATATTTTGATAAATATTTTGGCAAACGTTTTACTGTTTGAGAACTCGAGCCGTAATAATGTGGACTAATGTGCATCACAATCATAAACGCGTCGACAAATGGTATAAATTGAGACAATTTTGTCGTAAAATTTCAGTTGCAATACATCTCTGTTTTGATGACCACTATATTTTAGTGAAACACACCGTAGTTAATTACATTAATAATATCCCCTGTTTCGCTATGATCTGTTTTAGTATAGAAAGATTTTGCGAACAAACATTTTGGGTAATTATTTTGTGACGGAATTCGGGCTCGCGTTCGCTGCGGTGAACTCTTGACGACCCGTCGGACGGTATTTGGTGACCAACGTCTGGGAGACGACGAGGTCTACCGTCGGAATGTCGGATGTGTTAAGAGGTTGTGGTGCGAGTGAACGGATGGGAAGTCCCGGTATGAGTGGACCTCTGATGTGTGCACGAGATATGAATGGATGATTGTATGTATAAACACGTATGAGAAGTCCGGATGAGTGGTACTGATGGAGTAGTACTCAAGAGGGAGAAGTCATTGAATGAATGAGAAATAATGGATGAATGAACGGACAGCACTTCGTGTGTATATGTGTTCTATCGTTTCCCTCTTGATTTATTGACGAATTTTATGAACGTTTGCAATGGGTTTGAGATATGTACTGTATGTCATGAGAACTATTGGTATGTAACTTCTGGTGATCGTATGTAAGAAGTAATGGTATGTACGCGTATGATTTTAGAAAATGATATGAATTATCAGATATTAATCCTGTATTTAATGTGAAAGTAACTATTGATAAATATTTTATGAATTTATTACTTTATCGTATAATTATATATACTATATTATGTAAGGTATAATACTTTACACAGTATTTGTAATGCACTAAATATGAACTGCTAATACATTACAAAAGTAATTAAAAGTCTATTACAAAATTGTTTGCATACAATCAAGGCATCAGTCATATGATGCACACAATCCCACGTGTAATCAATTTTATCGACAATCGGATTAAAGTCACCATAAAATGCAGACAATTTTCCAATGAAAAAAGCCATAACTAATGCACTAATTTTACCCTTAATTATACATAAATAACAGGACAGTAAGTTAACATGGTATACGGAAAGGCCCGAACTGACCGAGTGTTTCAATAAAACTGTATTGGTTTGGACGCCATCCGTATTCCTCTTCATCTTCTCTCCAATACTCATATTTTCGTTGACACAAAATCGTCCGTCAATTCAATGGAATTCCTACAATAAAATCAGACAATTATTTTCATTAATTCACGTCATTATATCGCTATCGGAATGCATTACAGTTATTGTCAAACACTATGAAACCGATAATAGCGGTCAGAGTATTGCCTCTTTGACAGACATTACGGCCGCTGCCGTCAGATTAGTCACATCGGTATGAGTCGGGAGGGAATGGGAACTAATAAGTAACTATAAATTATATATTAAAATAATGTTTCTATGATTTAGGTAACAATATTTACCCTACTTTGGGCTCAAGTGCGAAAAGGTATCCACACAAGTGGTGTGATTTGGTTTTACTTACTTCTAGCCGTGATATGCGGTGCGCCGACACTTCACGGCCACATCTATTGGCATCGGCCACCCGTTTACGAATGGATACTATTTTGCACCTCATATTCGGTGATCATTATATTGTTTTTCATCTACTGTTTCGCCGATAGTTTGCCGCAAAATGAAAAGTCAGAGACAACGGGACTCAACTGTCCCAAAGACAGCGCATCTTTTATCTCACGATTGGTGTTCTCGTGGTTCACAGGACTGGCGATACAGGGCTGGCGAAAGCCGTTGACGGTTCCCGACCTCTGGGGTGTTAGGGATGGCGACAATTGCGGCAAAATATACACTATATTTAATAAATATTGGGTTTCGTTGGAAAGAAAACAAAACAAAAAGATTGAAAAATCACTACAAAATGAATTTAATAGCAAAACGAATGGCAAAAACGGATTTCACGGGTCGGGCGATGGAAAGGCGGCGCTGAAGCGGCAAACGTCTAAATCAGACGATAAGTCGCCAAAAATAAAAGTAGGGATTATGTCGACAATGTTCCGGACCTTCTGGTTCTACTTCCTCGCCGGTGCCTTCTTTAAGCTGCTCAACGATGTCCTCACTTTCCTTAATCCGCAAATTATGAAGTAATCGTATTTCATAACAAACTTAAAGCAATTATGCATAAAATTCATTTCCATGTCTTTTCACCAGAATATTAATGGCATACATAAGCGATAAGGAGGAGGAGTATTGGCACGGCTTTGTATACGCGGTGCTGCTGTTTGTGGCCACAGGTCTTCAGATACTGACACTGAACTACTACTTCAACCGAATGATGGTCATTGGGATGCGGATCAGGACCTGTTTGGTGGCCGCCGTGTATCGCAAATCACTGCGTCTGTCAAATACGGCCAAAACCCAGTCGACGACCGGCGAGATCGTGAACCTGATGGCAGTGGACGCCCAGCGGTTCATCGAAATGACACCATTTATTAACCTGATTTGGTCGGCGCCCCTCCAGATCCTACTCGCCATGTATTTCCTGTGGCAAGAGTTGGGTATCTCTGTGTTGGGAGGGCTGGCAGTGATGGTCGTTATGATACCCATCAACGGCTACATCACTAGTATATCGAAAAAATTGCAAATCAAACAAATGAAACTCAAAGACAGTCGAGTGAAGGCCATGAATGAGATCCTGAATGGGATCAAAGTGTTGAAACTGTACGGTTGGGAACAGGCGTTTATGGACGACATTCTGGTCATACGTAACAAAGAGATGAATAACTTGAAGACAATCAATTACATCGGATGCGTCCTCCAGTGTCTGTGGTATTGCGCGCCGTTCTTCGTCTCTCTGGTCTCGTTTGCCATTTATGTGTCCATCGATTCCGCCAACCAATTGACGGCCGAAAAGGCGTTCGTATCGCTCGCTCTCTTCAATATACTCCGATTCCCGCTCACAATGCTTCCCAATTTGGTCACCAGTATTATCATGGTCAATATTTCAACACATTTTTACCTTATTTTTTACACTGACACTAAATTTCTTGTATTGTATTCATAGACAAGCGTTTCGGTGAAGCGATTGAATAAATTCTTAAACGCATCCGAATTGAGTGGTTATGTGACCAGAGATTTGGATCATAAACATGCCATTAATGTGAGAAACGCGTCATTCAATTGGAAGAAAGACACCGACGAGACCGCCGAAGAAGAGTCTAATCACTCGACTCTTAGTGGTATCAACTTTGAGATCAAGAAGAACTCGTTTGTGGCGATTGTCGGGTCTGTCGGCTCCGGAAAGAGTTCACTACTGAGCGCATTGTTGGGCGATATGGAGCTCGAAAACGGATCCGTTAACATGTAATTCACATTTCAATGTCTTTCTGTTGACAATAACTATAATGTCTTTGAAATGAATGGCAAAAACAGCTGTTCCTCGCAGAAGATAGCGTACGTTCCCCAACAGGCGTGGATCCAGAACTCGAGTCTCAAGAATAACATATTGTTTGGCAAACCATTAGATGATAAACGATATCAACGAGTGATCGA